TCGAAGCGGCGGATGAGAGAAACGTCGTCGCTGACTCTGAGCTCCACGAGAGTCGAAGTAGACCAGTCTCCCCCAGTGACGAACGTGAAGGTAGTAGTATCGTCATAACCTATCTCTGACCACACTGGTCCATGTGCTAACTACCCTCATCCAGACCAAAGGGTCCCCTCGCCAACCATGTCAAATTCCGAAACAGAATCGGACTCCCAGTATGACAAGGCCACCAAACATGCACAAGCCCGCCCTCGTTCAACCACCCCGTACCTCAATCGCATTGGCCGTGACGGCATTCGAGGCGATGTCCGACAAAACACCCGCAGTCCTCAAAATGCCCACTCTCGTTCAACCACACCACGCCTCAATCGCACAGGTTGTGATGAAAACAACCGCACACCTCAAAAGGTGAACCGTTCATCTTCAACTTTGGGAAGCCTTAGCCCCATCACGCCGTCGCCCAAGGGAAAGGCAAAGAAACCTCGACAACGCAAGACTTTGGCCGCAGAGACCGCCACACGTACACTGCGGAGTCGCAACACCCAATTGGCGGTCACTTAGTGCTCATCATTGACTTTTTTCATTTTTTTGAAGCTCGAAAACTCATTGGACCTGTTGCTCAGAATGGATTACTCACGTACTACACGCTTGCCGCTTACGCTCACTTCTTTCGAATGTCCTCGTCACCTGCTTGTTCCCTTCCAGTTACTTTTCAGTTGTAGGCTGTTTTCGTATTCATGTTTTCTATATTGCTTCGTGTAATAATATTGCTTTCCCTCACTTTCCTAATTTGTAAGTATAAATTATTCCAAGTGTCAGAATCTATCCTGAAGACAACCTTGGATTACCTTGGAATGTACACCATACTTGCGAGACTTTACGTAGTGACCAATTATTTACCCTCCTTCCAAGGTGAACCATGCAACGGATGGTCTACATATTTTTTTTCGGCTTTCATTCTTAGCTTAAACTTACAATTGTACCTCAATCTCGCATACTTCACGCAATCATTGCTTCACCTTCCAACTTTGTTGACACCAGTGTATAATACGGTAAGGTTGGCTTAGAATTCTACTACATTAGTGCTGATTGGTCGCATTGTAGCACCTTACATTGTGATGTAAGGTTTATGCGGTTTTGCTGATGATATCGTTCTGGACTACATCCTTCTCGATGTCATGGAGATAGAAGTACCCTCGAATGCTATCACTAGA